ACATATGCTTTAAAGTAGTTAAAATGGCAAACTTTCTGCTATATATATTTTACCATGCTAGATTTTGGAATTAAAAAAATGCAAGTTGCTACTCAATAGGCAAAGATTATCCCATTTTTTGTTTTTTCGAAAAAATTTAAAAACACCTTTTGCAATAAAAACGATATATTCATGGGGCCTAGACAAAGGTTTAGAAAAATAAACACCAAAGTATTGACAGTCATTTGCTACATCATTAATGTTATCATCAGTTAGGATGCTTCAGGCTGTAGAAATCAAACCACTGACTGGCCAGGCTGATGGAAATAATGCAGTGTGTCCTCTCTCACAAGTGTAGGCTCCAGGACCAGCAGGTTCTGTCTCTCCCCAACTAGGAGCAGATGGCTGCAGCCATTCATACCCAAATGTGACAGCAGCATCCAGAGGCAGATGAAGAGTCTTTACTTGCTTGAGTCTTTAACAATGAGGAAATCGTTCCTTGAGAACCCTTGGCGACTTCTCATCCTGTCTCAATAGCGAGAAATGAATCATATGCTTCAGCCCACCATTGGCAAGGGGAATGAGACCACTATCCAGCCTGATTTATGGGCCAGGACAGAAATCTGAATAAAATCAGGTTCTTGGGGTGAGTGCTGACAGTACCCTCCACAGTCAACTGTTGCCTAACTATACAGGCAACCCCTTAGGATACAAAGAGGCCCAGCTGGAGAGGGTGGAATTACCCTAAAGTCTTGTTTTGTTTTCTTCAAGGTCAGACCTTGAAGATACAAATCTTGGTTCTACCACTTAATAGGCTTAACATATCTGAGATTTGGCTTTCTTATCCCTAAAATGGATTTAATGTTAAAGCAGGCCTCACATGGTGGTTATGAGGACTACCTGAGGAAAGAAAGTATTGAAAGCACTCAGCCTAGGGCACAGTGAGCGCTCATGTGGGGGTCACTATTCTTAGCTCTTTTTCTAAAGGATGACCTTGTCTTTACTACTCCAAAACTCTCCTCACCATTGCCCTAAATGAGATGTCTCCCTGTGATTTAAAAAAAAAAAGAAGGAAAAAAACAGGAGCTCTTTTAGTGATACATAATGTTTTATGATAGCTATATTGCCATGAACAGTTTTCCAGAATAACAGTATTCAGTAAAAAGGAACACTTACTTCCCTTTTTTTGGGTAAAAAATGCTTCAAACTTTGTGGAGAGGAAATGTGAAGTTTGGCCTTTGATGCCAAACTGCCTGTGTTCAAGTCTGGTCAGCCATTCCTCACTGTGTGACCCTGGGCCAAGCCATCACCATGGCAAGGCTCAGTTTCTCACCTGTGACATGGGGTAATGCAGAGCCTGCCCCATGGGTAGTTGTGGCACATGAGATCATGTATGCAAAGCTCTTCTCACGTGACAGCTGAACACTAAGCCCTGGCTTAGTGTTTGTTGCTTGTATTGCTGAGGGCACCTCATGAAACTGGGGAAGACACGGAGGGGGGAATAAGGATGAAAGCATTTCCATTCTCACTGGTTCCCTAGAGCACAGGAGGCTGCCTTATCCAGTACTAACCCTGTGCGTAGGATGGCGCCATATTTATCCTCCAGGTGAGGAAGCTGATGCCCCAGCTTTGCAAAGCCATATGGACTCACCCAAAATCTCCCCACCAGTAGTTGGTGAAGCTGGATTTGGGCCCTGCTGCCAGGGCCCAAGGTCTTTCTATTGTACCAAATGCCACATCTGTTTACCTTTCTCTCCTGCCCTCCACGTCCCTACCAGGCACTGAGAACCATGCAAATGGGTGTGGCCACATTTATTTTAGAGTATTACGTTGGAAATCTCCTAGTGAGGAATGTTGCTTTAAATTTGCCAACCTGCTATTTTTTTTCTTTTAATTCATCAGGCTCTGCTAACCGAGATGATGGAGAGATGTAAGAAACTAGGAAACAAGTAAGTATTTCAGATTCATAAAGCATGAGTTTAGAAAAGGAGTCCATTGCTATTTTGAGCTTAGTGTGCTTTCATGGGCAAGAAAGCTGACAAAGGAGCAGGGGATAGCATGGTGGTTAAGAATGCTGGAGTCTGATTGCCTGGGTTCAGATCACGGCTCCACCCTTTCTTAGCTGTGTGACCTTTGGCCACTTATGTAACCTCTTCCTGCCTCAGTCTTTTCTTTGTGAAGTGGGGATAAAAGTCATTCTTTCCTCATTGGGTTATGATGAGAGATAGAGCCAAGATGAACTTGGTCTTCCTCTCTCCAGGGCATATAAGGTTTCCTCTCTGCTCCTCTTTCAGTGGTAAGTGTGTAAGCATTGTTGAGTATGTCCCTGCTACCTAGTACAACCCTTTTCTTAGAAGATGTGACTATGTATCTGTAGCTTGAATCAATATTGTTAATTAATGTTTAGCTCTAATTAGTGTACTGGGCTATCTTTTTTTCTGTTTCAATGGACTTAATTGTTTGCTTGTTTATGTTTCCATCCATCTATCCTTCTGGAAAATTTAACATTTATCAAGTTCCAAATGTATACAAAATACCATGTTAGTCTCTTGAAGTTACATTTTTACTCTAGTTTTTGTTTTTTTTCACCCTGATCATTAAAGAGTTGTCAGTCATCCTTCCTGGCAATAAACCAAAACAAAACTCACTGCCGTTGAGTCAGATCCAACTCATAGCGACCCCTCTTTGGGTTTCCGAGGCGGTATCACTATCGAAGTAGATTGCCCAACCTTCCTTCCAACGAGTGGCTGGTGGGTTTGAACTGCCAGCCTTCTAGTTAGCAGTCAAATGCTGTAGGCACTATGCCAGCAGAGAGAGCTCCCATCCTAAAATTAAAACAACCTTGATTAACAGGAAACCCTGTTGACTTGAGGGGCGGGGGGTGGTTGTGTCTTGCAGTGCCTTGCTGTTGAATTCCGTGATGTCAGCATTCCGGGCCGAGTTCATTGCTACAAGGTCTATGGATTTTATTGGCATGATTAAAGACTGCGATGAGTCTGGCTTCCCCAAGGTAGGCTCTTGACTTAATGCTCAGCATGAGAACAAATAGGCAGTGTTTATCTGATAGCTCCCAAGGGGAGGGAGTGCGCTGTTAGGGGCGGCTTGGGTCAGAGGGAAAACAAGCAAAGGCTCTGTTTCTGCCAAATGGGATGGAAGATGAGTTAGAGATTGGGATTGTTAGGCACTCTGTAATTGCTGTGAGTCAGGCTCCCGTGAGTCCCCGGCTATCGAATTAGCTCACAATGCACTATTTAGGAAACACTTTGGTTTCATGTCTTTAATCATTTATCTTCAGTGAGTATTTATGAAAAGCTTTGCCCAATGGAATATCATGGGCCACAGATTACACAATCACATGGAGTCTACTTTTTATTTTCAGTTTCTTAGTCTAACATTTAGGTCTGTGATAGAATTTCAGAATGAGGTTATTGGAAGATTGATACTGAGACCAAATAATTTTACCACCTCTTCTTTTCTCTTAAGCCTCGGGTTGCTATGATTTACAATATCCATTAACAATGGTTTGATATTTTTCTTAGCATCTCCTTTTTCGCTCATTGGGGTTAAACTTGGCCTTGGCTGACCCGCCTGAGAGTGATCAACTTCAGATTCTGAATGAAGCTTGGAAAGTTATCACTAAATTGAAGAATCCACAGGTGGGTGATGCCCATTTTGACTTACAGAAATGGCTGTTCTGGAATGTAAGCTTTCTTTAAAAAAATTATCTTTTTGCTAATTATATTTCTATTTTTTAAAAGAAATCCATATCATACCCAACCTGACCCACCACTACCCACCCAACTATTACCATGAGTTAATCTTTCAGCTTTAAAGGAAACTATTTCCTAAACCAAAAGCAAACCAAACTCACTGCCATCGAGTCAATTCCAACTCATAGGGACCCTATAGAACAGAGTAGAACTGCCCCATAGGGTTTCTAAGGTTGTAATCTTTACATAATTGACTGCCATATCTTTCTCCCACTGAATGTCTGGTGGGTTCGAACTGCTGACCTTTTGGCTAGCAGTTGAGTACTTAACCACTGTGCTACCAGGGCTTCTTTCTGTTTCCTAAACTCATCTTTAAACCACTGCCGTCAAGTTGGATCCAACTCATAGCAACCCCTCCTTGGGTTTCCGTGGCAGTATCATTATGGAAGTAGATTGCCCCGTCTTCCTTCCGAGGAGTGGCTGGTGGGTTTGAACCGCCAGTCTTCTGGTTAGCAGTCAAATACCTTAGGCACTACGCCACCAGAGCTCCTAAACCAAGCAGTAGTATAGCTTAATTAGTAAAGAATGCTTGCTTGGAGCATTATGCTCTTTTAAAGAATTATTTATATGGGATCAAATTGATAAGAGCAACTGGAAAGTTTAGATGAGAAGCTTAGGGGACAGTGAGTATATGTTAAT